GTTACCCTTATGTGTACATATTATAAGTTTAGGAATATCATATCCAATGCTATTTGTTGTCAACATGTAGTGTCATTTTCTATCTATTTGAGAATAAATAACAATGTCCTTCAATATATTGAGGAGTAGCATATTTCAGACAGGCACTCCATTATATGATGTCAATTTTATTTACGTGTGGGTTAGCGGAACAGGTTCATCACGGTCACGCCAGAAGCTGAAGTTCTGAAAGCGAAGCAGCTGATGATAGGTACTACTTTCTGCTTCTTTTCTTTTTTTGATGCTCTCTTTAGTGTATTTGCTTCATACACAAGAATATTTGCAATAATGTACTTTATGATGGACTTGAGGAGTAACAATTTAAGCCACGCCAAAAAAAAGAAGAGATTATACAAGAACAACAATTTTGAAAGAACAAATTTTGGATTACCTAGCAAGACTACTGGTTTTTAACTATAAAGCACACAAAATGAAGAAGGAAAAATGAACACTGAACACAAGAGTGGTGCAGTAATAATTGATATCAATACAACCCTCCATCACTTATTCACCACAACAAAGTTGTCTGAGGATTTATCTTGATTCTCTAAGGCTGATATACTGGCAAAGAGAATCGTATATTGTCTTCCTTACATGCTATCTGCAAAGAAAATTACACTGGTCAAGTAATCGGAAAAAGAAAGAGAAGCTACTCCATTTTATGTGGCACTTCTTTTCTTTTTAGCATGTTTAAAATAGAACAACGCCTTTCCATTATTGAAAATAATTTAATTATAAATTTCCCATTTTACCTTTGATGACATGCTTTTATAGCCACAAATATGATATGGCACGTTTAAGACTAGAAGTTCCTTTCTTTTGTCAAACTCGGTGTCCAGTGAAACTCCACCGCGTAAAACTAAATGGAATAGGTAATAAGTTCCGTCTATACTTACATATTTCCCAGGGTAAGAGCACTCACTATTTTTCACGCATGGTGCTTAAATAACGAGATATTATTCAGGCCAAGGACCTGTAAGTTTTCAGTTCTTCTCTGCCTGGTGGCTCTGATGTATTTCTCTGCTGACTGGTTCCTTGTCCAGCTTACACTTTAAGTTGCTTGACATGGATGCGACTGCAGGTGCTAGATTACATTGAAGATAGCGGTCTTGAGGAGATTGCACAAGGAAGTTCAAGAGCTTTAGGGTGTTTCTTTCTGGTCCATTTGCTCCAGGACCGAATGTATCCTTGATGAAGCAAGACCTTATAGCTGTCTCAGTGGGCTTCCCTAAGCAAGGAACCATTGTAATATGATCCAATTTCGTTTGTGTGTATTATCAAACCTCAAACTCAATGTAACCCTTGATGCTGGTTTTTGGGGCCATTGTTCAACACTGCAAGGAATTCCAGTACGGACTGTATGTTTGAGTACATGAGGGTCCATGCTAGAAGTTAGAGATGCTTTCCTTAGCTTTTCTGGGGGATAAGCATCTATGCCTCCACTACGTGCTCTCTGGCTGTGATAGCCTCGGCAAGTTGGAGATTAGAGACTGCCGCCCCTTTGGCGATGACGGTGCAAAGCTGGAGGGAGACAATGTAATCAATTGTTCAGTATGTATCCTTGTAGCTCAGAAGTTGCCAGGGCTTAATGTTGAAGTTATAGACGGGACACCAGACAAGAAAGTTTACCTTTGCATCCTCTAGTTAATCAACAAGTCAGAATAATAGATACTTATTATTATAGAAATTTATTAAATATTCAATGTCAAATTAGGAAAAATAATAAATTATAAATGTAAAGTAGAGGGACTAATCTTGCAATATTTGTTTTAACTATTTTCCTTTTTTTAAAAAGTTTCGTTTTGTTAAATTCTTTTCCAAATAAAATTAGGTTTCCAAATATTTTATATAAAAAACGTGTTTTTATTATTAAATCTTTTTCCTAAAATGAAAAAGAAAATTTTATTACATATATTCACAATTTATAACCTCCCATCTCAAAATTTTCTTTTTTTCTTCTACTCTGTTTTTAGTTACTGCTCAAATCTTTGATCATGAAGTCTAAGAAAAAAATATCGACTAATTTTTCTGTCCGATTGTATCCTGTTGGTGTTCGTAAGAGAAAAAATGGGAAATTTTGCGCTGAAATCAAACACCCATTTAACAAAAAATTGATTTGGTTGGGTACGTTTGTTACTGCTGATGAAGCTTATGAAAGTTACAAGTCGAAAAAGGTTGAGTTTGAAGAACTAGTCATGGCTAAAGAAGCAAAAAAGAGACAGAAAAATGGAAATTTTGATCGAGAATGTGGTTCGAGCGAAGAAAAATCGTTAATGGGTATTGCTGAGAATTCGAATTCATCAAATAGGGTTGACGAAAAAATCGATTTTTTTGCAGAGGATAAACAAGAATCGTTAATGGGTGACTCTGAGAATTTGAATTCGATTTCATCGAATGGGGAAGAAAGTGGTGAAGAACTGTTTAAGGGGACCTGGGTGAAAATTTCGGAGGATAAAGAAGTAATGTTTTCATATAATTTGGGGGTTCCAATTATCGATAATTATGGATTTTTGTTGGGTGAATTTAGCAATTTGGATGATCTTACATTTATGTAAAGTAAAAAATTGAATTTTTTTTCTAAACAATTTTGATAATACAAGAAGTATTGATGTAGCAATTGTGATTGATTTACTTTTTAATGAAATACTCCTTTTGAAGTTTTAAGGATATATTTAGTTCTTCTGATTATAGATTTTAGTAAAATGTTAACGATGGAATTGAAACGAAAAAGTATTATATAAATGAGTTTGATGAATACAAACATTTATTATACTGATTTATAAAACATATTTTTTTTTTGTTTTATTATACTTGATTCATATTAATTTGATATAATCTTTAGGAAAGTGTTTATCGGAAGAGTTAATAAATTGTTCTTATTAAAAGGTAATTAGTTGGATACTTTTTAATAAGAGAAAATTACATAGTTAAACAAACTTATATCACTTAATTATCATTCTAGGTATAGCTTGTTATAATTATCACTCACGATTAGCATTATACATTAACTAAGTGGACTGACTTCGAGTTTGTATTATTAGCTATATCTATAGATGTATAATTCGTCAGAATATACAAATACATATATGACATTTACAAGGGAAAATTGTATATAATAACAAATAATTAATTCAAATTAAATGTATAAATATACTTTGATTTAATTGTACTCTATTGCAAACTATAGCTATTTTTGTCACTCTCCTTGGTGGAATCTCACTCGCCACTCTCGTTTGGTGGCAGTCTCGCTCGCCTCTCTCGCTTTTTATACAACACAAATGTATAAAATCTGTTTGTGCTTCTATAAAGCGAGAGAAAATTGTATAAATACATATATTTTCGTTCCTCTCTATCCCCTCTCCCAGATCTCCCTCGCCACCCTCGCCTCTCTCGCTTATAAAAGCAGAAACGAAATGTATAAATTGTGTTTCTGTTTGTATAAAACTAGAGAAAATTGTTTATACACATGCAAATACATATATTTTCTTCCTATACACTTATAATTACAATAAAGATACTCTCTAGCCCAATTACTTTTGTCTTTCTCTCTTTCTCGTTTAATACAATTCGATTCAATTGTATATTCCCTACTCAAGTCTCTTTTGTCTTTCTCTTTCTCATTTTATACAAATTCAAATTATATGTAATTGTCCTTTACACTTATAATTATACAATACAAATATTTTCATGCCCAAGTATCTTTTTCCTTTCTCTCTTTCTCGTTTTATACAAATTCATTGTGTATAATTCCCTTTTTCTCGTTTTATACAATTCGCTTCAACTATATATTTATAGCGAATTGTACATATATATGTTTGCTATGGAGCACAATTATGCAAACATTGTTATACCATACAAATATGAATTTTGTGTTTGAGATATGTGAAAGTTGACTTATTTACAATTATCTAATCGATATACATATACAATTCGCCTCTCACCTACTCTCGTTTTTTTTTTGTATTGTTGAGCCTTAGTTCGAATCTCACTGATAACATTTTTTTTATATTTAAAATTCTAGATTCATCACTGATGTTGATGAAGCTTCTAAATCAAACAAATCCTTTTAACAAGTCTAAAAGGCTTGAATTTCAAAAACTAATTGTAGCTAAAAATGTAAAAGAAGGCCAAATTTCTAAAGATAATCAACAATGATATGACTAAAGAGATGCAACAAAAAATAAAATCATCGAGGCCCCAACCCAAAATCGAGCAGAAAAACAAATAAACAAAGGAATATACACTTATACCGTAAATATTTTCACAATTATTATACTTTAATCTATAATTTGTAGAAGTAGTCATAATTAAAATGTAAAATCAAGTCAGATTTTTGAAAATTTTGACAAAAAGTTGTTTGAGTGGTGAATCTAAAAATAATCATCAATGGATGTTACTGAAAATTCGAATTCATCAAATAATGGAGTTGAGGAAAAAATCAAAGAAGGAATTGGGAATGAAACGAATGAAGAACTATATAAGGAAACCTGAGTGAAAATTTCAGTAGGTAAGAAAGTGAAAATTTCACATAAATTATGGATACTTGTTGAGTGAATTTAGTGTCTTGGATGATCTTAGCATATATATGTAATACTATGGTCTAAAAAATGGGCGAAGGGAGGGTCTGAAATAGCAATTTTAAAACTTTTGGGAATACAAACTTTAATTTTAAAAATTCACGGGGCTTTAGGTATTTATGATTAGTTTTTCGATATAATGTAGGTTGTTATGTTACAAGAATTGTTAAATTAATGTTTGACTTCTCAATGAATGAGATTAAGTTTCACTTTTTAAAATTAGTACAGTATTAGTGAAATGAAATTTTGTATCTCCATAATAATAATAATAATAACTATAATTACTGTATTTTTGTTTTGGTGATCAGAATTTCTTGGATTTTAAAGATATTTTTGTTATCATAATCTATAAACAATTCGAATATTCCTGAATTCAAAAGATTACCTTTTTTAAATTTATTTTTTGTTATTTTCATTTGTAAAATATTGCTTTGATTTTTTTTTCTTGAAGTTAAAAATTAATTGAAAACAACATTTATTTATGAGTTAAGTAAAATCAGTGTATATTTTTTTTCTTTCCTTTACATTTCAAGTTCAAAATAAAATTACATGCAATATGCAATCTTTTTCTCTTTTTGTTCGCCCGAGGTTTCTTTGTTATTTCTATTTGTACAAAAAGTAAAAACTATTCATTCACGATGTAAATTTGACAATTCAACCTTATTGGTGCTTGTGAGTAAATTTATTATAACTTGTCTTCTATTGCAACTTGTTTTTGTGTATATCAATTAGTTAAACAAAATTATTAGGTAGCAGTTTGTTATTTTACTATCCTTCTATTTTAGTAGTCACCATTGGAGTTTTACTTCTATAGTTAATTATTCTTCGATTTCTATTACTATCTATCGTTTCTTTTTTACTTTAATAAATATTTTATTTTGTTGTAGTTATTGATATGCTTTTTTTTTTGTAGTTATTGATCTGCTTTTTTTTTTGGAACTATCAGTTTAATTCTTATGCTTCCGTACTTATTACATTTTGGATAACTTTGATATGTTTTTTTTCTTGAATCGAAATCTACTGAAAACTACCTCTTAAATAAGAGTAAAGTCTGCATATCTACATCGAACATGATGTTGTTAGCTCATATTAGGTTTGGATTATGTACATTAAACATGTTGTTGTTAGCTAATGTTAGATTTGATCCAAAAACTCAAATTAATGATAACAATATGTTGCAACGGATTCAATTAAAGATAACTATAACTAAAATATTCATATCATAAAGAGTACAATAATAATCTCCACGAAAGTACAAATATATCTAAAATAAATAGAACCAAATACAAAAATGAATAAAAAACAAAAAAAACTAAAGTGGAGTTAATATATATATATATATATATATATTGAACGACCCTTTTGGTCGTTCCAGTGCTAAAGCCTTGTGTTTCATAAAATATTTTTCAATGGGTTCTAATTGGATTTGGACTATTCATAATATAATTATGAAATTAGAGGGGTAGTTTTAATAATTAAGTTAGTTGATGGTTAAAGGAGATAATAATTAAATAAATAAGGGGTCACTTTTACCCCATTATATTATTAAGGTATACAATTAGGGTGATACCTGATCTGTAGAAAGGAGGAAATAAATAGAAGAAGAGTTGTCAAAAACAGATTGAAGAAGCAATTCAGGTAGAAACGTTTCTCCTTCGGCTTTCAATATTAGAGTGTAATCATAGGGATAGATTATTATATGGTAGGTTTTAAGAAGAAGGATGTAATGATTGGTCAAATTATAAGCAAAAACAATTAATTTTTGAAGATTAGGGTGCTGGAACGGTCGCATATGTTATATATTATATAGATGTGGAATTAGACGGTGAATTCTGCAGGAATTATGGTCTTGTTAGTTATAGAAAAAGGGGAATGTTTGTTTCTTTCTATTTTTGGACAGACTTAATGTCATTTAATTCTTTTATATTGTTTGGATATTGAATTCTTTCGATTGAAGTAATGATTAGCTAATCATTAACTAATGTCATGATAAATGCATTTTACAGTATATGATTGCCTATGGTTTCCGCAATTAGTGGCTTAATTTTAAATTTACTATTTACCATCATTCTATAAGTAGAGTTTTAGTATATTGTGATAGGTAATTGAATATTTATTGTATTGAATTACTTAAACTTCATTAAAATTATGCTAATTGGAAGAACTAAGACTTACCCTTAGGTTTAAACTTTAACAAAGTGATTACAGGATTAGGTGAATTGATGGGTATAGACTAGTCACAGAATAATCGGAGTGTTTATGGCCTTGTGAACTTACACCTTGTGTGATATATACTTGATATATTGGAAGGGTTCGGAAGCAATAAGGAAAGGAAAAGTGTTGGAGAAGTAGTTGCTTGACTCGGTTCTTCGGTAGAGGTAGGTTATGGTTTAATTCTATTTGATAGATAAACTCTAAATAGCGATTGATATGTATTGAGTGATATTGTAAAGTCTCCTACGTACTTGATTGTGTGGTTGTATGTTTTGATTGTGTGGTTTGTGGTTGGCCTAAAATTATGAGACTGTTGAAGTTCTAACCTTGAACCCTCTCTATTAAAATGACGCCTTGAATAAAGAAGGGTTGATGAAATAAAATAATGAGATAATTGGATCGGATTGTCATGTTTCGACACAATATTATGGGATCGGAGTGTCACGTTCCGACACGGTATATGGGATCGGAGTGTCACGTTTTGACACGATAACATTAAAGGAAAGGAATCTTGAATTAACTTAATATACTCAAACTCAAAGAACCTATTTCCCAATGAGTATAGCATAGAGACATGAGTCCTCATAGGTGTGCTTGATGTTGTGATGGATAGTGTACCTATTATGGTGTTGTTGTCAATGGTTCATGTGTCTGTTGTTTACCACCTGTTAAGTATTGTAGTTCATTTTATATTATTATTCAATATTTCTATTTTGAGTTGATCGATGATACCTACTCAGTACGTGTTCCTTGTACTGACCCCTACTTGTATTTTCTTCTTTGTTCTTTGTGGAGTGCAGCAAGTGTACCATCGACTTTAACTCGCCCTCAGCTCTAGTCAGTCTCCAGCACATCAGAGTTCAGGGTGAGCTA